ATGCTGTGAAATTCTCTGCCTTATGAATTTGTTTGCTCATTTATGGTCTAAGCACCCCTCCCTCCCTACCTCTAAAATGCAGTTTCCACGAGGAAAGGCATTTTGTCTTATCCACTGGCCTAGCCCCAATGCCTGGCACACAGTGGCATTCTAGAATTTCAGCGGGGAAGACACCTAGACGGGGCCGGTCACTAGGCTACTGACCCCCAGCTTCAAAGGCTCCCTTCAATGGCTCTGTGCTGGGCTGGGGCTGTGCTGGGCTGGGACTCTGTGCTGGGCTGGGGCTCTGTGCTGGGCTGGGGCTCTGGGTTGGGCTGGGGCTCTGTGCTGGGCTGGGGCTCTGTGCTGGGCTGGGGCTCTGGGCTGGGCTGGGGCTCTGGGCTGGGCTGGGGCTCTGGGCTGGGCTGGGGCTCTGCTGGGCTGGGGCTCTGTGCTGGGCTGGGGCTCTGCTGGGCTGGGGCTCTGTGCTGGGCTAGGGCTGGGCTGGGGCTTTGCTGAGCTGGGCTGGGGCTCTGTGCTGGGCTGGGGCTCCGCAGGCCACATTCTGCTTTGCCAGCATCGCCCAGACAGGCTGTGCCCTTGGCAGAGAGGGAGGCTGCAGGCTGGGGGAGGGGGCCTTGTCCCAGGCAGCTTCCTGCTCCGGCTGGACCCCCACTGCCACAGCTCTGTACCCTACCCTGCCCCTCCCTGGCAGCTGGCACTGGTGCAGTTTGTGTCTTGAAGGCCCAGAATCAGCACCGTGGCTCCCATCAGAGCGAGCAGGAGTCGTCCGGTGCCGGCTCCGCAGTCTGGGCCTCAGCCTCATGGGGTCCTGCGGGACGGAAGGTTCTGAGGGTCCCCGTTTGCCCTCGCCCCAGGCAGTTACCACCTCCAGGAGTCCTCAGTGCCCCCGTTAGCCTTTTTAATTTTCCAATACCTGCCTGACAAGTGTTTATATACAATTCTCTGTTCTATGGCCGGCAGGCTGTGCTCCTGGCTGCACTGACTCTGCGCCTGGCCAGCCCCCCCCCACAGCTGGCCACAAGGGAACCCCTCCAGGAAGCACGACCCCATTGTCTCTCCACATGCGTCCAGAGACAGGAGTTCCCACCAGAATGGACAGCTGCTGGTGTCCTGCACTGCCCAGGCAAACCGTTTCTCCAAACCGTTTCTCCCTCAGGCTGCCCGCCGCTTGAATTTCAGACCCTGCGAGATGCAAAATAAGGTTCCATGATTTTAGAGTCCAATGGTCTTGGATTCAAATTCAGCCCCAGCTGTGTGACCACCCACAAGTCCCCTTCCCTCTCTCGGCCTGTTTCCTCACTGGCCCCCTTAGTGGAAAGTAGGTCCTTAGGCCGGTCGCCTGCACCTCGAAGGGACTCTGGATTCTGCTGTCATGGGTCTCATTGTGAGGATAGACTTTGGACCGGCTAAAGGACAGCAAGCATGTCCTCTCTTCGCCTTGCGCTGGAGAGGTCACTGCACTCTCTCGGGTCATCTGCCATCTGGAGTCCTCGTCGGCCTGTCCTTCCCCCGGAACTGGCCTATGACAATCCCTGCCGAAGTTTCCAGGTGGACAGACAGCTCTGCATTCCCAAGCCCCTTTGAACATCTGTGACAGGGAGGCCGATCACAAACCCGCCAGGGATCTGATGTCCTGGTGCCACCTGAACCCAGTAGCACGCGGACTCCCTGTTCTTTACCTGTAGTCACATGTTCCTCGAGCAGAGAACAGTTCTTTCCCGCCTTCTGTCCCGAATTTCACTCCGGCACAAGCTGGCGCCTTCGCTGAGCGGGTTCTGGGCACACCACACGCCCTGCCCACGTTTCTGGGGGTTTTCCTGTGTGGCGCTTTGGCTGCTGCTGACCTTCTCTGGGCCTGCGGCGTTTATCTGAGTTCACATGCTTGATGCTTTGCTGAGACCAGAGCAGAACCTGAAATGCTTGGTGTTTGGGTTCTGCGAGGGGAGATTAAAATCTGGAGCTTGGCGCCATGACTTCCAGCGACCGTGACGCTTCCTCTACGTGGCCTCTGCTTGCTTGTGGGGTTGTTTTAGGGGACGGAGGCATCAGCGGGAGCAGCAATCATGACCTTTGCCACTGAAAAAATGGCCTCCTTCAGCAGACCCTATAGGAAGCACACTGATTTCATTTAAACCCCCCAAACCCTGCGTGGGAAGGACCGTCAGCCCTTTTCCAGAAGGAAAACCGGCGACTCGCCTGCTGGGTCAGCAGCTGCTAAACTGCAGAGCTTGGGACCCCAGGTCTGTGTCTGGCCTTGGCGTTTGCTGTTCCAACAGTTATCACCCCGGAGAGCTGGGTGGCCCCTTTGGGGGTTTCTGCTTAAATGTCACTTTTATAGAGAAAAGTTTCCTCGGTGACCCTGTGAAAGAGGGGCTCCTCCCGCCGCGATCCATCCAACTTGGTTTTCGTTCTTCACGGAGCAACCCCGTCTGCAGACACAGTTGTGACTTACCTGTCCTTCCCCCACGTGAGGGCAAAGCTCAGGGTCGTTACTTTGCCCACGTTACTTTACGTGGCGCCTGGGTCAGAGGCCAAGGTGACACATGTTTATACAGCGTGTCCCCCAAAATGCATACACACTTTAAATAATTATCGAGTCAGTGTTTACTAAAGTACATTTCATTTTCAACAGGTAATAGGATCTACTGTTGTGTGTGTATACATCTGGGGGGCACCCTGTGTATACTACATGGTGCAGACTGGACAGGTGGGCCAGTAACCCCCTGGTGCCTCCGCCAGCACCTCAAACAGCAGGCGCTGCCGTTTCTCTCCCTGAGGGGGTCGGTCAGGTTTCAGGTTTTTGAGCTGAAGTTCAAGTGCAGATTCCCCCCTAGACATCTCCTGTCATCCCCAAACGGGTGCTGCTGGCTGCCCCCAGGGAGCCCCGCCTCCCCCACGACTCCTGGCCAGGTCTCCAGGCAGACGACCAAGTTCAGGGTCAGCTCACGCCACTCGAGTCACAGCCGTTGTGTCTGCGGGCTTCCCCGTTTTCTCTGCCTCTCACGTGAGCTGGGAGAGAGATGAGGCTGAGCCCAGCTGGGGCTTGCCCATCCTGCGGCGCGAGTTCTCCCGCTCGGAGGGCGGTGCTCTGTGAACGGCAGGTGGGCACCACGTCCTCCTCCCCCAGCCTTCTCTGCCTGACCCTCTCTTCCTCCTGGGTGGCAGGGCAGCCTGGGCCTCACCTGCCAGGGGTGCTCCGTGCTCCCCTTCTTTCCTCTGCTTCTGAACACCTACCCGCCCACGAAGACTCCGCAGAGTGAACGGACTTCACTGCAGAAACGGATCCTTGACAAGGGCTTAGTGGTGGGTGATAAGTCCGCTCCACGGAGGTCCAAGAGGGCGTCGACTGTGTCCACCTATTGGCCTGACTCGGTGTTTCCTGCATTCTGAGTGCTTTCTGTGCCCTGTTGCTCAGCTCTGCTCTCCACGCTGGGAGCCCGGTAATACTGGGTATGTGAGTAAGTGAAGCAAGGCTGTCGACCCCGAGGAAGAAAATACCTACAAGAGGGGCTCCTGGTGGCCAACCTGGGGTTCCTTTAGGGTTGAGCTGGTGCCACTGACCATTGGGTGAAAAGACAGAGTGCTGTGAGCATTCCCAGACACCACTGCATTTTAACTAGGACCTTCAAGTCTTTAAGACAATGACCAAATAACGTGGCAGTTTCCAGACCTAAGACATGGAGCACGATGGGCACGTTTCGCTAGGCTTCTTCCGTGGCACAGGCTGCCCCCCCTGCCCCCCTCCCCCTCTGCCCCCTCCCCCCTCTACCCCCTACCCCCTCCCCCTCTACCCCCTACCCCCCAGGGCATAGAGAAAGGCCGTGCTTCTGGGCTGTCTCCAGGCTCTGTTACTGAAACTGGAACTGGGTGGTGACCACCCAGAAGGTGAGATTTATTTCAAGATTCCCTTCCTCCTAACTCATGGAAGCTGGGGAAGAAAGCAGACGTGGAGCATGAGTTCCAGCTCACCTGGTGTTTCATCAGCCGGTGGTCTCCACTTCCTGCCTCTCCAGCATCCCGAGAAGCAGATACCAGGGAAACCAGCTGATGGGGAGGAAGAGAAAGACCTTCCCGGGGCCTGGCTCACTTCAGCTGAAGGTGGATTTCGTGTCTGCTGCGCACGTGTAGCCACAGCGCATCGGCCCCTGGTGCCCATGGTCACACCCACGAAGACCTTTGGAAACACCAAAGGAAGGAATGCCCGGGGTAGAGGGTGGGATGAGATGCCCCCGGAAGGCCCTGGCGACCCTCACAGTCCATGGTACTGAACAACAGCCGGCTCCTTACTAAGCAGACGTTGGGCTTCACATTTGCCTACTGCCTTGCAGTTTTCCTTCTAAGAGGACGGCACTCGTCAGACAGTGTGAATTGTGAACATTCCTTCTGGCATCTCTGAGGATGACTTTCTTCACCGAGAAAGGCCCTGATCACACTCCCCTCCTGTCCTGCAGGGGTGGGCCGGGCTGCGCCAGCTGTCTCCAGGTGGGGGCACCTGGCGCGGGGCGGCGGTCAGCGGCGGGAGGAAACCCCTGCTGCAGCTGCTGCCCACTCAGCCCAGCTGCTCCGTGATGCAAACCAGGCCACTCAGAGGCTGCCTGCAAACTTTCCACGCAGTGCCCGGCACAGCTTCCTGCTCTGTGGGGAGTTCGCCCAGACCCTGATCGAGGCACGAGAAATCGATCTAGTAGACGAGCGAGGATGGGGAGCAGGACAGCCGGCCGGGAAGCTGCGGAACGGAGTGCTTTGCGTAGCAGTCCCCTCCCTTCTGACTGGAGTATTAATTGCTACATTACCACTGCCATGTAAGAAAGACAGTCAGCAAAGCCTGGGAGAGCTACAGCTCCTCCCTCCCTGCTCCGCTCTGCTCCACTCTCCTCCTTGGCTCCCTCAGAGCGCCGTGTGCCCTGGCATCCTGAGGTCCTCCTGTGGGCAGCACTTGAGTGGAGGGAAGGGAGCGAACATCGTGCCCTGCAGGCTCTCTGGATGCAACAGCCGGGCTCACTGCAGAGGCAGCTGCACTGTGCCAGGAGCTTCTGGGGTGCGTCCATCTCGCAGGGTTCGCCTAGGCAGGCTCCGGGTTCCAGAGGCACGCAAAGTGGAAGCCTTCCCTTCTGGGCATCGGCATCGACAGCAGAGCCCGCCTGCCCTCTGCCACCATGAGCGGCTGCTCCAAAAGCTGCAAGCTTGGCTTCGTGAAATTTGCCCAGACCATCTTTAAGCTCATCACTGGGACCCTCAGCAAAGGTAGGAAGCCTGGCCTTGACCCCCCTTTTCTGTCTTGATGTGATCTGGCCGGTCCGGGTGCCTCGGCGTGGCAATTGTGGCCACTCTGGTGTCCTCAGGTCCCGGAGGCGGCTGGGAGAAATGGGGGCTGGGATTTGGGGTTGCTGACAACCTGGGTCCTGGCTCCGAGCAGGCGGGCACCGTGCCAGGGAGCTCAGCTGGCTCGAATTGCCCGGAATTTTGGAAATGGATTTGGTGGTGTGTGACTGATTGGTTCCAGGCAGGCAGAGGGAGAGAACCCTTCCTTGAGCCCTGGAAGCTGCTTAGCGTGACTGGAGTTTCAAGAAGTTATTCACGGAGTGTTGTGTCTTATTGATAAAAGAGATTTGATGTGTGCACTGTGAGTAACTGTGGCACAGGGGGGCCAGCAGGAGGTGGCAACGGGCCATCCTCCTCCGTGCACGGGTGGATGTGGGATCCGCCAGCTCTGGGCTGATGTACCAAAAGCCTTTTCTCGTGGGGTTCCAGGGTGCTGCGTTTCTGGGGCTTCGGTCATTGTTCTGCTTTCTTGGCTCCCTGTCCCTCCGCATCTCCGGCCTGTGTTGACGTCTGCTTTCTCTACTTCTTCAGAACAGGGGTGGCGGGCAGTGTGCAGGTGCACCTTCCGGCAGCCCCGAAAGGGTGGCTGTGGACTAGAGCTGGGACTGCGGGTCTGCGATCGCCCCGGTGCAGAGGGGGCCTGACTTCCCAGGGGCTGCCGGCCTCCTGTGCCCATCTTATACTCTGACCGGGGACGGGGAGGCACTCGGGCAGCCTCTGGCCAACTTTCTGGAGATAATATTTCAAGGGATAGCAGCGGCATAATGTGGCTTCACTGGTTGAAAAAAAAAAAGTCTCTAAATATTCACGCTGTGGTTTAAGGGTGAGGCTTTGGGGGAGAGGCACTGGAAGGAGTAGGCAGAGGGTTCAGGGAAAGAGGGGGGCCCACAACCCTTGCTTGGGGTTTTAAAACACGAAGGTGAGCAGAGAAGGGCCCTGTGTGGCCAGCTCCAAGAACATGGCTCAGGTCCCCGGCGGCCCAGCGGGTCAGGCTGCTGCAAATTGAAAGGTGGGTGTATACGTATGTGTGTTTTGTGGGGGCGTCATTTTGCTTCTCTCCTTTCTCGGGTCCTTTTGTTGCTCCTGTTCTGTCCCCCCTATGCTTATGAAACCCGGCACTCCTCCTCCAGGAAGTCCAGGTGGACTGAATGCCCCAAGGCTGAGGGTCATCTGCCTGGCAGAATTATTGGGAGGCCTGAGTGGATGGACTGAAGTGAGGGAGAGAGTGCAGAGGGCTTAGGAGATTGCATCAAGTCCCGTCCATCAATCCTCTGAGACAAATGGAGGATTTTCCCCTTGTGTCTCCAGTACCGGGATCTCGGTGGTGAGGGGTGATAGGCAGCATTCTATGCCAGTCTCTGCTTCCCAAAAGTGCAGCACAAGGGTCTTGGGTTGGAGTTAGAAAACCTAAATCTCCACTCTAGTTTTGCTCCCTCAGCCAGCCACAGCCTTTCAGAGCCTCAGTTTCCCCATGTGTAAAACGTGCCCATTGCCTCCAGCACCTCACGGATCCAGGGAGCAGAGACAGGGCATTATGCAGCAGGAGTTGTGAGTGTGAGAAAGTGAGTCAGTCGGAGAGAGTGCACGCCGAGGGACGTGTGTGTGTGTATGTGTGTGTGTGCGCGCTGAGTGTGCGTATGAGAGAGAAAGAGAACGAGAGAATAGAAAGGTAGCTGAATTCATGAGCATGACAGTGTTGTCTTCCACTTATTTGCCTACCATCGATGGTTCAATGTTTATTTATTACCTACTCTGTTGCACACTCATTACTAGACATTGGACACGTGGACAAATAAGACACAAGCCCTCCATGAAGAAATGGGCATTGGGGTGGGGGCACAGATGGAGGACACAAATCTCACCTGCACCTGACCCTGAAGGAGGCATGGGGGCCACAGGGCCAGGAAGAGAAGCCTGGGGCAGACGCACAGCTCCGGCAACGGTAGGTCTGAGCTGAGCTGAGCAGGAGCCAGGCTGGGCAGGTAGAAGGAGGGTCAGCCTCTGCAGAGGGCCAGCCAGCCGCTCAGGACGGCCCCTCTCTCCTCCCAGAATCCCGGACACTAGGATCCACGAGACACAGATTGGGCTCCGCCCACAGGAACCAGCACCAGGGACCCGGCCTTTCTCTGACCCTCCTCAGTCCTGACTTCTCTGTGGCTGAGGCTCAGGAGGTGGCCCACAGCCGGGGCCAGCACAGGGTCCTGTCTCCCTGCGGAGAACACCGAGTGTTTACACAGCCTGGCTCTGCGCCAGGCATTCCCCCGGAAGCTGGTGTTCTGCCCAACCCAGGTGTTTGCTAAATATTTGCTAAATAAATGACTGTGGGAACAGGGCCAGTGGAGCAGGGGAGTGGAAAAAGATCTTTCTAATGTATAGACCAGCCCTGGGTGGATTTAGATTAGGCTCTGTGTGGACACATTACATTTGCTTAATGATTTGAGGATTTAATTGTGTTTTCACTTATTCATTATTCATTGCACTGAGTCCTACTACAATGGCAGTAAACCAACCCTTAGGAGGATTTTCTTTGTCCCTTTCAGGATTGAGGAAGGTAAATGTTCTATAGGACCAGGTGCCTCCTGCTGTTCCTGGGGACAATCCCCTCCCCACCCTGCCAGTCCCTGGACCTTGGGGGAGGCAGCCCCCCCTTTCCCTTGGTCCAAGCTGCTCGGTGGCCCAGAATTCTCATCAGTGCCCTTCCCAGAGGTGAAAGGATCAGGTTCTTGTCTTCATACATCCCCTTGACCTTGAGCTTTTCCTTCAGAGCCCTGATCCCAACATGGGATCCAGGTTTCCTTGGGAACATGTGTGTTAAAGGCCGTCTCCCCGACGGACATGAGCCTGTGAGAGTGGGGACTCGTGCGCTTTCCACGCCGCAGCCAGAGCTCCTGCCGAGTGCCCAGCCCCCAGCGGGTGCCTCACCGGTCCTGCTGAATGAACGGAGCAACACTGCCTGGCACACGCACCAGCCAGGCCCTGCAACGGGCTTGAAGCCGAGCTTTCTGGGGCGCACCGCGCTGCCCCTGTCCGGCTGCTCTGCAAACGCGCTCCGGGCTCTGAGCTCTGTCCACGTGCAGCCAGACGGCCGGGCTGCGCCTGCGCCTTCCCTGCCTCCAGAAGGGCATGACCCTGCCCTAAATGTGGGTGAAGTCTGGCACCCTGACTCCGCCCCCTCAGCTCTACTTCCACGTGCTTTACATACTGAATTTCTCCAAATTCAAATAAAGAGTTTCTCTTGCAGAAAAAGAAAAGGGGGAAAAAAGGGAGTTTGTAAACCAACAATGCAGGGAAAATCAACTGGTGCAGACTGGACGCCCCGGGTCCTCGGGCACTGGCCGGGGTGCCTCGGGCAGTGTCTGAGCTCCGTGGGCTCGGTTACCTACCGAAACCACCCAACGGAGTCACAAGGCCTCCTCCCAGGGTAGCCGGCTGTGTAGACAGCTCCCGGCACAACAGGGGCCCCAGACGCCCTCCAGTGCCCTTCACAGCTGCCACTCTCCGGGCCGAGAACACCCGGTCCGACCCACACACTGCTGGCGCTTCACCCCGGCCGGGCTCGGAGAAGCGTCTCTAGTTTCTAGAGCACCCCTCTCCCCTGCGCCTGTTTTCCTAGCCCCACCCAGCGCTGAGATGAATTGCAGCCACTGCCCACTGAGGACCTTACCAGGTGTTAGGAGCCTGACTCCCAGAGCAGCCCCCTCCCCTCCAGCTCCTGACTTAGATGCCCGATTAAGCGGGGGTCTGGGGAACCTGCCTCTTCCTGGGCAGCCAGCCGTCCCACCCTCTCACAGAGACCCCAGGGCTGCTGGTGTGCAGCCTCCATTCTGGCCAGGCAGGTTCCAGGCCATTTCCTCCTGCACTTTGGGAACCCCTCTGTCACCCCAGATGGTGAAGTCAGGCTGGAGGGAGGAATCCCGTCCAAGAGAGCTGCTAGCACTGTCCTGGCCACCCAGGCGGCTGCAGGGTGGGAGCAGTGTGGGGTGACTTTATAAGACATAACTCAAGGACAGTGCCCTGGAGCGTGCCCTCCCCCCCCCCTCCCCAGGCCCAAGTTGTTTCTCTCCGTGTGAGGCAGGACCTCAGCTTCAGACCCATCGGAGACATGCTGTTCCTCTTGCCTCCTCCCTAAGTGCTATTCAGGATCCTCAAGAAACTGACTTCAAACTTGGGGGTGGACCCTGCCTGTCGGCAGGCTGGGCTTGAGCCCAGCTCTGTCCGGCGTGCGCCAGCTGAGTGAGCTTGGGGGAGTTACAGGACCTCCGCAAGCCAAGGTTCACACTCTTCGTGGGAGATGATAATGTTATCAACTGCACGAGGTTGTTTTTTAATTTAATGAGGGTGATACAAGTAACAGGCTGGCGGCCACCGGGTGATCTTGTGCTGGCAAGGAGCTCAGGTGAGGCCCTCCTTAAACAGTGTGCCCTGGGCACCTCTCTCGTCTCATGCCAGCTCCAGGAGGTATTGTAATCACCATACTGACGCACAAGGAAGCTGAACTTGTAAGCAGGTGGCCAAGCTGGCTGAGCTGGAATTAGAACCCAGGTCCCACGCCTGCCTCTCCACCCCAAGGGGCTGTGGAGATGGCCCTGCACGCCTGCCCCCCACCTCGTCGCCAGCGGACACTGCCCCAGCTTCCCACGCACTTTGTAGGTGGGTTTGTCAAGGGCTGTTGCGTCAGCTGAGTCACTTCAGGACAGCCACCTGTCTTGCGAGGGGCTGGGACAAATTCCGTACTGTGGCATGGCCTGGGTAATGGAATAAGCTTTGTGGGAAAAGGTGACAGGCCACAGGCCAAGCAAGGTCAGCAGACAGCCACACGCATGCCCTTCCAGCTCAGGCAGGTGTGGGAAGGTGCGCCAGGGCACCTGCGGATGCTGAGCGCGCTCTGTACCCACGGGTCCCTCTCCTTCCACTCTCCCTTC